AACGACCGGAGCTGAGCGGATATATCTTTGTCTGTTTCGTTTGTCACGATCACCCTCATCACGTTAGCCGCTGAGGAACATATCGCCGTTGATCTGGTTGTTCCCGCCTGGCCTTGCAGGGTCCATCCGAAGGTCGTGTCTACTGCCATCAATGTAGGGCTCAGACGCTTAACGGATCCCGTGACGATGGCCCAGTAGTAGTCGGCTCCAATCAAGAGGCTAATTCCATCCTCAGTGTGGGCCCCTCCCGAAGCGTCGGCGATGTTCATTCCTTCGTTCATCATGTGGGCCACTGAAGATTCCGATGGAGCTGTCATGATATCCGCGCAGATGCAGGGAACCTCCAGGGCCTCCACGCGGACCTCCTGTCTGTCGTACTGGCTTCTCAGCCAGAGCTCCACCCGTCGACACTTCGTGTGCTTCGCTGCTGTGTTGTCACCGAAGGTGAAGATCCGGAGCTCCTCCTCTCCCAGCACCCTCAACTGCAACTTCTCGGAGACGCCACGTTGGATGAACGTACGCTGGCTGCCGCCGTCGAGGAGGAGTCTGACAAGAGTGCGCCTCTGCAGGCCGTCTGCCCATGCCTGTGCGGTCTGAAGGAGCACCTGCGTCTTCTCTCCTCCACAGCTACGGTCTCTCACTCCGAGAGAAGACTGCAACACCTGTTGTCCGGGGATCTCTTTTACACCCGTCACTGCCGAGTCCCCTCTCGTGGAACCGCGGGTGCTCATCAGGTCGGGGTCACACATGCTCGTCAAGTGTCTCCCCGCGCATCGTCCACATTTTAGCCATTTTGACGTTCTGCAGTCACGAGATCTGTGGCCATATTTTGCGCAGCGGAAGCATCTGTTTTCGCGTTTTAGAATTTCCCTTTTCTCTGAGACTGACATCTGCGCAACGCACCCGTCCGAGTCGTGACCACTAGAGGCGCAAAACACGCATCTTCTGTCGCCCCCGCCAGTCACGGCATTCAGGGCTGCTGCGGATGCGATAGGTCTTGCCCTGTAATCTCTCTTTCCGTCTCTCTTTGCATCTTGTGCAGGCTCGCCGGTTTGCCGGTCTTTCTTTGCGTCTACTGGTTGCATTCTTTCGCGGCTTTCTACTTCGCATTTCAGGAAATCCAAGAAATCCCGAAGTCCGTTCTTTTGGTTTGGTGATTGCGCGGTTATCTTCCGGCTGTACTCAAGTCCCATGTCGGCTGGTATGGCTTTACGCAGCACAGTAAGGAGCAGCACTCCATACGTGCTGTCGTTGATGCCGAGGGCCTCGAGGCTGCGGACTCCAGTTTCAATTTGGTCAAATAATGCTCTGAGTCCGCTCACGTTTCTAGAGTCATAAATAGGTCGGACAGCCATCAACCTCGCCATGTTATCTTCAATTATAAGATCCTTTTGTCCGAATCTACGGGTGAGAAGCTCGAGGGCTACTTTGTAGTTTTCCGCTGTCAGGTCAAGCCCTGCCACAGCCACGGCTGCCTTTCCCGTGAGGTAGCTGTTCAGGTACTTGAATTTGTCGACCTCCGACAGTGTCAAGTTCGCGTTGATAGTTGAATTGAACTGACTCCAGAATCCCTGCCATTCCCGTAGTTCACCTCCAAATTTTGATATCTCCAATTTGGGGAGCTTCACTGCTGGGTTGGTCTGTTCGACTGTCACGCTCGTTCTGGTGTCCGCGTTGGTTAGTGAACTTGATAAGGCTCTGTTACTTGGACGGGCCTGATCTAGGAGCATGCCTTTCAGTTTAGTCTTTGCTACGCTGATCCTCTCCTTGTAGCTTTCGCTGCATGTAATCTCCTCTTCCAACGCCTCGTCATCGATTCCTTGCTCAATTTCGCTATCGAGTTCCTTGAGAGTGTCCTCTTTCAATACGAGAAGGTCAAATTTGGTTTGGAGCTCACCGACAGTTGTTGGATCCGCCATGGCTGCGACATCGTTGATAAGCTTGGTCGTCGCCGCTCGCACCACAGTCCGCTTTCGCTTTGCACGGTCGGTGACGGCTGCCTTCGATGTATCCATCTTCTCTGGTACTTTCTTCTCCCGGGTTTCGGCACCAAAAATGTTGTAGTAGTAAAGAGATGTTACTAAATGCCGGCTAACTTCATTACACGGTGGTTCGGAATCAGCCAGCCGCTGTTCCAGAGAGACAGACACGAAGCGAACCTTTTCAACTCTCAAGAAGAACTGTTTATTTCAGAACAACTAACGGGAAGAAAGACGTGCGAGAAGGGGAAAGAGGGTACACGGTGTCGAGTGACCAGAAGCCGCCCCTCCGAGGCGCAGCTGGCGCTGTTTACACAGGGGTCCGTGGTCGCCCGTTCGCGTTCGCGGGTGGCTCGGTGGAATGTCCCCTCTGGGTCATAAATTTCGGGAGCACTCGAGGGGAGACCGTTTGTTCCGAGAAACACAAGCACAAGACGGAACGAATGCGCATGCAGACTCTGAAAGCAACACACACACAAAATACAACAGGCCGCTCGTTGCCGGCTGGGCGGTCTCCGTCGGGTGATGGCAGAGGCCGCCACACACGTACTCCCGTTCCGTTGGTATTCGGTCACTGAACGGAACCTCGAACTCGCTTGCGAGAGCGGCATTCGTCCATGTTGACAGAGTCGGCGCAACGACCGCGCCACCGCGCTGCTATAACCCACCGCGGTAACCAGAGTCTCGATCTCCTAAATACTACCGATACCGACTATTCACACTTGACGTCACTCCCTACGTCACCTCCGTTTTCAGAGGCCCAGAAACGAGACTGGAGATGGTTCAGTTTCGGTTTCTTTACTTCTTTAGGCACATAAATACGCGTCAAAAATGCCTACAAAAAATTGGGCGGCATGCTATGTTCCCAAGAAGCATTAAAACACCATTAAAAAAAATAAATAAAATCGTCTTCATTGTCCCTTTAAACATTTCTGGAGGGCGAAAAAGCGTTTTATGTGATTTCAGATAAAGCTTCAGATAACTGGCAACCATGATTTAAAGCCACAATATGGCCAAGTGTCGTTACTCTGAAGCGTAGCTTATTTAGTGGCACTAGTGTAGCCCGTACACAGCCATTGTCCCCCTAGAAGATTAGCCCGTCGCTCAAAATTCCGACTAGTTGCTTTCCCCACCCCGTTCACCCCGAAGCTGACAGTGCTGTGGAAGCTACGTGCTCGTTGGGCCAGCCACACATTTTCCACGTGATCACGCTCTCTCGCGCATACCGACCCGCAGAGAATGAGGTCAGGTGATGAAAGGGAGGCGGCTGATTGGTCCGGCAAGCGCGTAGCTTCCACCGCAATGTCAGCTCAGGGGTAAAGGGATTAAGTGAGGTCCGGTGTCGTGTGACGTGCGCTTGGGCCCTGGTGACGCGCTGCGGGGGCCCAGTTATGGTGGCTAGTAGCCCGGTGACGCGCTGCGGGGTCCGCGGATGTGTCACAGTGAAAAGGATGAGAGTTTACGAAGGGAAGGAGGTACGAAATAGTCCGCTATGTTTTGCAAATTTTTGTAGCGAAAGTCAGTCTTCTGACTTTCTACCTTTGTTCTTTTGGCCCACTGAACGATGTGCTATTAGTAAAATCCCAATATAAATTGATTTACTCCAGCCCAAAATTCGTTTCATGGGTCCTTTAACCAAGGATTCCACGACGCCCATGACAACTCCCAATGGGAAACCAGCATTCGACAACCTTTTGACTTGCAACAAAAAACTGTCACCACGCCTATGGTGGCACGACTTAAACAAGGCGATGCGGAGACTAAACAGTGCAATGGCTCTTTTCACTGACTTAGAGTGCGCGGATTCATACACTAAGAGCCCCTTCTTAGACCTAGGCTTATAGCCCCAACACAAACGCGAGGGCTCACATCGAAGATTGAGATCTAAAAATTGTAGGGCACCCTCAAAAGTGGTCTCAGCCTTAAACTTTAGTCCCGGAGAACAATACGTAAACGCAAGTAACATCGAGGCAATCACACTTCCAATGTCTGTGTTATTGTTGTCTTTCAGCACAATCAGGTAGTCATCAACATACCTCAACACTTTGACGACCCGATCGTCCAGCCGCTCAGCAATTGCCCTATCACACTTAGCCAAATAGATGTCACTGAGAACGGGCGCAACGTTCGACCCAATGCATATACCGCTTTTCTGCAAAAACGTGTCGCCTTCAAATGTAACAAAGATGAACGCGAGGTAAAAATGCAGTAGCTCAAAACGGTTCCCTAAAACTCCTTAATGTTTTGGCGTCTCGTGAGCCCCGTACGCGGACGCTGCGGATGTGCGTCCCCACTAAGGATATGAGCTGAATCACCCGATCTGGCCTTTGTTCTGCGTCTGCGGTCTCCACAACAAGCTTTGCTATCCCTCGAGTTGTCAAATGGCCCTAAAGTATGGAACCTCGACTTCGCGTTCCATTCCTATCCCGAGAGCAAGCCGTCTGCTTCTCGCACGGGGGATCCGGTGACGTCAGAACAACGCCGAAGTTCGAGTGGCTGTGATTGAAAGTATGGAGGGTAGAGCTCAATGGGGGGGGGGGGGGGGGGGGGGGGGGGGGGTAGGGGGTAGGGTAGATGCCTTGAGGTCTACCCGCATTTTTTTTTAATCATCCAATAAAAATTCGGCGTTCTAACATCATCTTAACCCCTTTGCAGGAAGCAGACGAGCTTGCACTCCGCATATGTGGAGCGCAAGTTTGTCTGCATCTAGCACGGGGGTTGCCACAATGTCAGGACGCCGAACTCTAAAAAAAGAAATAGTGGGTAGACCTGAAGGCTTCTAGCACTGAAGTCTACCCACCATACTTTCAATCAAAGCCAGTCAGAGTTCGGCGTTGCTATGACGTCACCACAACTCCTGGACAAGAAGCAGACGACGTGTTCTCCGCATAGTTCGGACCTCTCTCGAAGACGGGCGGGTATAGGCAAAAAAATAAAGCACGAAGAATTGTTTTAGCTTATATTGTCCATAATGATACGTCCGGATCGGTGAGTGATCCCTTTGTCCTTCCAACTTCACAGGTCCCTGCTGTCGCAGTTACAGCGGCTCCAGCTCTTGCTGGGGGGAGAGTGCTCCGGCAAGTCTACGGCGTCCAGGTGTGCAGCCGCAGCCACGGTGGGTGAACCTCAGCACCGCTACCGCACTCGTAAAAAATCTGGAGTGCCTACTATCCTGCAAATCACTCGGGGAAGCCAATGGCTGCGACGTACGAAAGGAACGCGGCCAATGACGGTGCTGAATATGGCTTCAGACCTCAAAAAGCAATCTGCGATGCGAAACTGAGCTTGTCGCTTCACTGTACACAGTGTCACAGCGCATGGTGTTTTTCCTTTGTTAGGCTTAAAGGTTAAACACATGTTGTGCCTCGACATTTGCCCAGCTTCCTCCTTAGATAGCAGTGATTGGATTTCCCAGGCGCCTTGGAAGAGACTGAGCACTCCAGATGTCGTAGCAGTGTGGCACTGTTCGCGGTTTGTGGCCGGCCAAAAGTTTGTGGTCCGCGTTCGGCCAATGGCGTTCCTTCGTTTCTGTGCCATTGTCTACATGATTGGCCCAACCCTCCGTGGTATAAATGGACGGCTCGATCGAGGTGTCACACAGTGGCAAGTATTTCTACAGCATGTAAACTAACGCTTTTAATGTATTTTATGGGCGGCCCGCAAAATTCATTTTCTGTATGTTTCGCGCTGCGATTTACTACGGAGGTGCAAGCAGGTGGTGAAAGTTTACAGTAAAAAAAAATAGCTTAAGTGCAGACGCAGCCAACGCTACGATCTTAGGGATCAATCAAGAAGCGTCAAAAACGCAGGTCACTAGCCTTTTCTGTTAATGATGGGTTCAGCGATGATAGGATACGTACACAATTTAACATGACGAACCATGACGGTGTGCTTTTGTCGCTGTCTGATTGATCCCATCAGCTCGTAGCATCAGCTGTGTCTGAACTTGAGGTGACACGAAGTATAGAAATGTGTTTTGGGCAATCAACGCCGCCGCTTCGCAGACGATGCAGGCGTATATATGAGGTGTGCTACCGGTAGATGGCGTATGCTGCGTTGAGAGACCGCCGGCCGTTGCGGGTATGGTGCCTGGAACGCGTCTCCGACTGGTGTGTTTACCGGGTTCAGAAAAGTGGTCCCTCGATTTCCGCCCGATGACGTCATAAAAGTGTCATGCTGTCGCCTGTTGCGACCCTGGCGGCGCCCCAAGAGTAGTGGTATAAGTGGCAGACGCCTGTTCTGCTGCAGGTCGCTTTCCACTGTGACAGTTCACGGAAGCTGAAGCAGCCGGAAGTTGGGACGCCTAAAGGGACGCCGTGACGAAAGCGACACTCGCGTTGGCTCGTGCTTTTCGCCAGCATTTCTACGGCCAACCGCCAGGATCGCGACAGGCAACAGCATGACACTCGTGTCATTTGTTGCCACATTGGGACCACTTTTGATGTATGGGCGGGATAGGACGCTAAACACACAAGTCGAAGACGCGATCCAGGCACTATAGTTGCGGGTTATGACGGATGATCCCGCAAAAGAACTCGAATCGGGCGGCGCTCCCGCTTCTTGCTTCGTGACTACTTCTGCTTTCTTCTCGGCGAATGCCGCGATTTTATAGGCTGATGATGGATAACAAGACACTCGGAGCTCGCCACGAGCTGCGCTAGCTATCGGTGTCTTTGGTGAACGTGCTACTCGCGATGACGATACGCTCTGCAAGCGGTGCGTTCCCCGTGGCAAAATCTCCGCCTCTCCTTGGCGCGACTCGCAGATTTTGACCTGATATTTTAATTTCCTTCGTCGCTGGCTTGCCGCAGGTGGCGATCGCTGCAATACTTTCGCTTCTGTATATAGAAAACTGCACCGATTACACCGTGCAACGAAAACAAGCTATACAGCCGCGAACTGGCAAAGGAGCGCTTTTCTAAAATAGTCTGCATAAAAAAAAAATCATATTAATGCGTTTTTTTTTTCGGTGTTGCGTAAAATTCAGATGCAAAAAAAAAAAAAAAAACACAGCGAGACACCGGGCAGAAGATGAACCGGTTGGCGCAAGCGTAATCCTCAACCGCGCAAAAAGGACCCCAGCCAATCCAAACTAACTTCAATCTTTGGCTTCTTTTCCGTAAAGTCTCTCGATACAATTCACGCTTACAAGTACCGCCAACCATCGTTGTGGGAACGCGCAAGACACGGAGCAGGCCCTCCGCCGCCATTCGCTTCTAAGGGCCGCTGATTTCAGTGCAGTGCTCAAGGTCTCCCACTGGTGGAAGGAAGGTCGGGGAGGGGGAGTTAGTGGGGTATATTTTCACAAGCAGCTTGCATTTAAACTAACAAGACGCACATGCATACAAACGCTGACACAGCGTTCGTCTGTGGCAGCGTCTGGCTGACGCAGCCGAACGCTATTCGGAGCGCAAGTTCGTCTGCTTTTTTTGCAGGGTTTGTGGTGACGTCAGAACGCCGACTGGCTCTGATTGAAGGATGCTGGTTAGTCCTCAAGGCAGCTTGCTTTGAGGTCTACCCACTATCCTTCAATCAAAGCCAATCGGAGCTCAGAGTTCTGGCAACCCCTGCAAACGTCAGAAACGCGCCCAACAAATTTACGTTTTACCCATAAGTTTGGTTCTCAACCTTACCGCTATGTGCTAGGTGGCGCAGGTCGCCGCCCAATTCAAAGGGTTCAGCCTCATCCATCCATCCTTGACACTCCTCTAAAGACACACGCAAACGCATCGAGGGGCTTTACTTTTTCGCGCCTCGCTCTGCAGTCTCTCTAATTCCTCATTTTCTGCGCTTTTCTTATATCATAGGAAAACGGGAAATGTATGAAATATGGCTGGAGGTAAACCCCCGACACTGGGGTGGAGCACTGCACGGGCCGGAAGTTCTAGGCCCGGCCCGGCCCGACCCGGCCCCTTTAGGGGCACGGCCGGGGGCCCGGCCCGAGCCGGACAGAATCTTTAATTTCAAGGTCCGGCCCGACCCGGCCCGGAAGAGACACTGCCCGGGCCCGGCCCGGGCCCGGCTTAATTTTTAGACAGAAGCAATTGAGCCTGGCATGAGCCCACGAATTTGTTCTTTATATATAAGCCTTAGCCTGGCCCGAGCCTGACAGATTATATACATGAGCCCGAAATAGTTTGCAGCCTTTAACATAAAAAAAAAAAAACGTGTAAGTATAAAGCGAGCATATTTTATTTACATTTCTTTTAAACTTGGATGGAACTTTTTTTGACACGATAAAAATATCCCGACTTAGAGGATGTACTTTCGAGAAGATGTGCAAAATATGCAGTTCATAAGTGGCCAATATATTATTTATGCACTTCTTGTAGATATATTGGACTTTTCGTTCAATTCGTTTCACAGTGAACTTTTCACCCTGCATGTTTTTATGAAGAAACAATCACGATCATGCTATAGTAAGTTACAGGTCAATAAGGTAGCGGCAAATGTCCCTCAAAGGAATTCATATATCCCTCCTGCGCCTCCGTATCCAATAGCGTCCCATCGTTTCCGTGACGTCGTGGCCAACGCGGGAGATGGTTTTGTCTTCCTGTGAATGTTGGCCTTATCTTTCCAGTTTGACTTAGCGTTGTGGAAGCCACGAGAGGGAGATTAGAATTTTCCCCCTCCGATGGAAACAAATACGACTCTGGGGGGGGGGGGGGGGGATAGGTTCCCCCTCCTATGAATACAAAGGCTACTTTCAGGGGCTCGGTTCCCTCTCCGATGAATACAAAGGTCGTTTTCTTAAAAAGTGGGAGTCGGAGACAAGTTGGGGGGGGGGGGGGGGGGGGCATCACTCTGTAGCTATTATCTATTCATTGATGCGGAACAAAGGGCGTTTCCAGGGAACTATTTTTTCGACTGTGGATGGATTTGAAACGGACGCATCACGCTTATGGGAAGAGCTTCACCTACCTAAAAGGCAGTATGAGCATAAAATGATCTATAGTTAGCTTATCTTTGGTGGCATAGGAAGGCTTCCTGCACAAAATACAAAGTCAAGTTCGTTTCCTTCTTTTTTTCTTAGTTTGAAAAGCAGACGTAAAAGACACTCATGTTGTACCATGCCACTGTAGTGCCCTCGTTTCCTTGACAGCATTTTTTCATATGCTGCTGGAATCCATACATTTTCTTTTATCCGCGTAAAAACTTTCCAAATACGAGACGTCTTTTTTTTTTTTTTTTTCGGCGTGGTAGTGATTTTGCATTTCGCTTGTTTGTTTTCAGTGAATCTAAAAGATCAATGAGCACACTTTTTTGTTATCGACAATTTAGAATTTGCGGCACACGACTGCCCAGCGACGGCGCGGGCCAACCCAAACCGGCACGGCCCGAAAAATTTTTTGTTCAATTGTTCGAGCCCGAGCCCGGCCCGGGCCCGAGAAAATCCATGCTACCCGGCCCGAGCCCGGCCCGAGGGCCGGGCCGGGCTCGGGCTTTCGGGATGTCCCGGGCCCATTCAGTGCTCTACACTGGTGTGCGAAAAAGTAAAAAAAAAAAAAAGAAGAAACTGTAAGGTGTCACGTGGTGTGCACACTGATAATACACATTACGCGCAAAGACAGTCTGCGCGGTCACTGTCTGAAGCGTCTTTCCTCCACAGATTTTCGAAGCGAACAGGCTTCGAATATGCTTGAGACGCGTTCGCAGATACTTGAGGCATCTCACCTGCAGCGAACCTTGTCTTTTGTATGATGCACGAGCAATCTGTCGGTTGCTTCACCCTCAGTTCATAACGCAAGATTGCGCTGTTCTTCCACGCCGAGGCTTCGTGCTAGAAAATGCCTTAATTTCCCTTCCCCCCCCCCCCCCCCCCCCCTCCTCTCTCTTCTCCCTTTTCTAGAGAATGGACCTGGAGACAGAAGACGAACCCGTCGACGTTATATAACGGTGAGTGGGTCTGGGGTTAGTGTGATAGCATTTCTAAGGCCCGTCTTATCGGTCGTCTTATAGCCAGCCGGCAAACAGCCAGGCGACGCCAGCAGAGGTTATACCCTGCTTCGTTGTAACCTGGCAAAGGGTGGACGACAAGCCACCCCCCACCCCTTCCCACCCCCCCGATTGCGTGCCCACGGCTTCGATATGCGCTACACATACGAGCAAAACGCACATATATTGGAGAATGACGCAGCGAAAAGCCTGATACTTCCGCCGTACTGGCATATTATGAGATCACGGCTTCCTTGTCTACCTAGTATTTCTTGCTTCAGACACTAGGCTAAGCAGCGACACCAGAGTAAGAGCTCACGTTTGAACAATGCAGCCGCCACTCCGAGGCATACCCAATGTTTCTTGCTTCAGTCGCTAGATAGCGTAAAACGAAACAGCTTTGCAGGTTGCCTAAAAATTTATATAAAAAAAGCCAGCAAATATTTCTTTAATTGGTACTTTATCTAATAACCCGGACAACTGCGGGCAGATCATTCCAGGAAATGGAATGATCTACCCGCAGACGGCCGTGCACCACTGCAACCTCATTCATTTCAACACAGCCATTGAGTGGGTCATCCATTGAAGAGCCATCTTCACGTAATACCCCATGTCTGGGACATTCGAGATCTAATGAATAAATAAATTTAAAAAAAAAATTTTTCGTGAACGTTGCAAGAAGCAGTGCTATGGTGTAGGTTGTTTTGCTCCTAGTTCGCGAGACATAAATTGCCAAGAGCGCCTCCTTCCGGCGTTACGTGCGTTATTGGTTGTATAATATTGAGCCTATATTTTTTTTCCATTTTTTTTTTCCAGCTTTCATCTTAGCAGCAATGTACTCCTTCCTTCATCACGAAATCGCCGAGGAAAAGAAAAAAAAAGAACAGAAATTCCGCTCGTCGTTTTTTCTTGTTGCATCGAATGTTCTCGGACGCTATTTAAAAAAAAAAAAAGTCACCACGCCCTTCCGTCTGAAACAAGCACGCAGGCCAGAAAGAGCCTTTCTCAAGCTGCGACGACCAAGTGCCTTTTCGAAGAAGTCCAGCGACCAAGTTTACGTTGGACCAAGTTCACGCTCGACGACGTTTCCAGGCGACAAAGTGCGTTTCAATCGAGTATTTTTTTTTTTTTTTTTTGCAACTGTCTTCTGTTTAGCGAGATTTATGTTGAGCAACCTTGCCTTCAACCGAATCTCATTCGACGGAACATGTGAAACAAGTGTCTTGTTGGTCGCTGCGGAGAATAATTGCAGATGGAGAGAAGAAAACTGCTTGAGCGTAGGAGAGCGAGTGTGCCAAAACGCAGTGGTCGAAAAAAAAGTAACCGCAACTTGTTTTGCAAATATTTTTTTTTTGTCGAGTGTTGAGTGCGCGTGTGTCCTTCCTTTATTTCTCCTCGTTCATTACTTCTTTTTTTCTTTCTTTTTTATTCAATCATTGTTGAAAAAACACTTGTGTGTCATCTTCTCTTCGAAAGGGTATTCCATTATGTGAGAAAACGTTTTTTTTTTTTTTTTTTCCCCACTGTTTTCTTGTGCCTTGCGTAATCACGCGCTTCTACATTTCGTTTTGTAAATATATCGCGGGTGCACTCAATGTTGCCAGACTATTGTCAGGTTTCCGTCGAACCACCAAAGTTTTCATCGTTACCCGACAAAGTGCCTCCTTTTTTTCTTTCTTTTTTTTATATACGCGGTGAATATTTTTTGTGTCTTCACACGATTGTCATTTCTGGCGGTCGTTTTGATTTCATTGTTCCCTTTCGACTCCTTAAAATGGAGCTAGTTATTTTTTTTTTTTTTTCGCTTGTTTTGGGTTTTGGGTTTGGTTTCTAGTGTGTGGAATATTGTGTTTTCACTTTGCAAGCTAATGATTTTTCTTTTTTTCTGTGAATGTTACTATTTGCTCATTTATTTTACTTTTGACGATGTGTGCGCGCGAGAAGACGACGATGACACAGATTGAGAAGAAGAAACCGAAAAATAACTAGTCCCGCGAACAATCTGTAAGTGAGCTGCTTTTCATCATGATGTCTGGTCTTGAGTCTTGAGCGCCACGGTTCATTCCATGGTCTGACGCCCGGCCTTCTTTTATCATCCTTGGCCACACGATTGTCACCATATGTTCGTTATCGTGACTCCGGTTGTGCGAAATAATGAATTAATAGATTAGTAGATTAGGGGGTGCTCCAACAAGTGGTCCCTTCTGATACGGCTTGTGCAATCTCTTCCCCACTTAAAACTGTTCCTTTCGATTACCTTAATATATTTCGTTTTGCCTTCTCGCTGTGCTCGCAACTTCCGCCACAGAGGTGCCATGATGCAGATGACGATGGACCTTTTTCGAGAAGGGTTCTGCGCTTGCGGATTTGCGTTGCGGCAAAAGCTGGAACTTCGAATGCGTCCAAAAGGGGAGTTGCACCACCTCTTCTCTGAGCCGCGGAGGAGGCCGGAAGGGTAGCGCTCTCCCATTTCCCGACGCCAGCTGTAGTTCGAACTTCCGCCGCTAAGTGTCGTCTTTATGCACAAAAAAAGGTCCATTACCGTCGCAGTGCTCTCCATGCAAAGTCTATGTGCTCACAAACTTGGCAAGTGCAATTTTTTTTTTACATATTTTCTGGATACATTGCGGGGAGTTAGTTATCTCGTATTGTACGAAATGTAAGCAGGCGTACTTGTGTCATGATAGTTCTTTTGTTTTTCTTTCGTCGCGTTAATACAACGGTGTCGGCGCTCCTCAGCTTTTGTCTCACGGGAATTTCAAAGAAGCGCCTTCCAAGCGTATCATCACTCACCAGTTGGCCGCACTTGTAAACTCAAAAACTTTTTTTTTTTTTTTGGGGGGGGGGGGGGGGGTGCGTAATTGATCGTTTTTATGGGAATATTTGGTAAAGAAAAAGACCGGAATGCAGCGAATATGTTATTCATTCCGTAGGAATGGTTTGAAAAACTGTGCAAAAACCGTTTTTTTTTATGTTTTTTAAAAGGCGCGATGTTTCGGTCAAGAACCCCGTTTTGCGTCCCACACTCAACCTTCCCGGCCTTCTTTGTCCAATGCCTCTTGACGAACTTCCTTCCAGACTAGTCTGTCGCGAATGCTTTAGATAGTGAGACGCGTTCGTCGGCATTTCTGTTCTCAAAATCTCTGTCCGTCCTTCAAAAAAAAAACGACAACGTTTCGTGCCAGGTTTCTTTCTTTTTGAGAGCGCTGATGGGAGTCTCAACACGCAGACGGATTTTTGAAGTGTTGTCACGACGAATCACTGACGCGGTGCAATGTTTTTACTCTTCGTGGGGGGAACTGGGCAGTGGTCTCTATGGTTAGCCCTTTGACACCCCTCTCTCATCTTCGCTCGATGCCGAAGCAAACGAACCAAAAGTGCCTTCTCTGTCCCGAGACCACGTGAAGGAAGCGATGGTTCGGCGAAAAGGCCACGCCGCGCAGACATCATCATGAGCGACAATGATATGATGGTCATGTTGACGATGATGATGGCTGCCCAGCGTCGCCGACGCTGTCTTGCGAAGTATCGTTCCACGTGAGAGGGCCTTCAAAGGGAGTGCCTTCAAGCCGAGACCCTTCCGGAGGCCTGTTCTGGCCATCCCAAACTTCCGATGGACGTTGTCCGCTTACACGTATCGGATCGTTGTATCCCGAGTCGCTGTGCGTACATAAAAGCTAGCCTTGGAGGACCTGCGTGCCGATCTTGACGACGTCTGCTAACGGTACCGATGGACCGGCGGCTGGACCGTGTCCTGCAGTTGTTCGCCCCCCTACTGTCGCTATCCCGGAGGTTCCTATGTCCCTCCTGGTGGAGAGTTGGTCTCGGGGAATCGTTCGATGCATGCCGCAGCTGACGTCATAGCCAAGGTAGCACCAGGGCGATCACGTGCTGTCTCCACCGACGGGCTCCGCTTTCCGGCACTCAGCATTGGCTATTCTGCCGACTCTGGCACCTAGTCTAGCGTACTCGTCTTGACCTTTAGTCTCGACGACGGTGCCGCAAAGCTTTGCTTTGGGGAAGGAACTTAAAAAAAAAAACAGAAACGGTGTTCGTCACGCTTCTTAACCTCTCTTGAGAATCGATGCTGAGGTGAATTTTGTCTAATTGCTTTGGTAACTAAAAATTGAGAGCGTGTCGAAAAAGAAAAGAAAAATATGTAGTCTCGAGTGTGAAAATCTCAACTCTGATGCCATCGAGTGTATAGGAAAAAACAGAAAGAAAGAATTGAATTTTTTTTTTCGCGAAAGTACTTGGAAATTTTACGGGATGCCATTCTTGTAAATACTTATTGAGAGCAAACGATCGTCCCTTCTATTCATGACTCTATATACATTCAAAATATATCTAAATATATATTTATACAAATACATAAATATATATATATATACATATATATGTCCGCGCTACGTATATAGACGTTGTGGCGCGTTGAGAAATAGTATAACGCATTCTATTTTTTGACAGCCCCTTTGTTTCCCAGCCCCTCTGTTGACCCCGCGACGGACGTTCTCGCTTGGCTTGGCTCGGTCTTCCTTTGGCTTTGTAAAGAAATTCTGTGGATTGACTCGTTTCTGTCTAAGACATTCCGCGACAATGTATCACGCCACGTGACCCACGTAAACTAAATCCGTTCTTTTTTGTTTTGTTTTGTTTTCAGGTGGTTAAATAACTTTGCACATATCGGTCATCTCTGTTTGATGTTCATTGCATTCTCATTGCATCAGTTGTTAGTTTTGGTGACACGCACAAGGAGATCACATTGTGTATATACAAGTTTACAATTGAGGGAACAGAAAAGCAGAGCTAGTAGGAAAGTTATTTATATTTTTTTTTCTATCACTCGGAAAGACGAAAACATATCACACATATACATTTTTCGGCGTATTATGCTCTCACTTTTTTTTTCCCTTGCGACTTTCAGCAATTTTTTTCTCTCTTTTTTGCACAGGACAATGTTGAGAAGCTAAGATGAAGTTGCGAAAGAAACGTTGAAGCCAGTCAGCAGGATGCAGTGCGCGTAAAATGTTCCTTTTTTTTTTTAACGTTTGTATGCGTTTTTCTTTTTTTTATTTCTTTGATAAGTGTTATTGAGTCTTGGGACCAGACTTCCAGTTAAGATGTTAAATTAGCATGTTACAAGAGACTACCCAGTATTCGTTCCTATCAGCTGATTTGCGCGAAGCAAAAGTCACCAACTACTGAAGCACTTGTTTTCTTAGGGTGTTTTGCACTTGCTGTTTTTTTTTTTTGTTTCCCCTTTTTTTTTCAGACATACATAAACATATGCTCACGTGCTTCTCTTCCGTTACCTGACCTGTCTCCAGTCATATTCGGGAAGCATCTTTTCGGAACGTGTTGGGTTCCACAAGACGACCGCGGCGTCCTCTGTTGACATTTCTCTCGACTAGAATGCAGTGTCGGAACTCATGGTGACAATTAAATGACCAAGTCATCGGCAGATGGCGCCCCACCTCTCGACGCCCACACTAAAGTTTGCCGAAAGGAAACTCCCCCGACATTCTTGCAGTTCGGGTCTTCAATGTGTCTCGTTTTCTAGAAAAAGAAAATTAAAATCTGAAACAAAGCGAAATATCCGTTGCTGCTGCCTATGCATCTATTGCGGTCTGTGATAATAACACCAGCTAACGATCTTCTCGTCGTACCTGCTGAATAAATTGTACTTGCAAAAGATTCAACACGGGCCTCCTCTTCTTTTTGTCATTGTGCTTTCGCTGCCCTGTGAGCTCTTTTACAGAGTGCCACCTTTCTATCTTGAAATGGCTGTTTTCCACCCACTCGTTTAGTTTCCCTGCAGTGTGAACTTGATATTCGCGACTCCGGCGGCCGAAAGCATGGATTGTGGACATATCATGTGCCAGTTCAACGCACACCACTCTATACTCTGTTTCACCTTATGTTGTACCACAGCGAAGGCTAGAAGCGCGAACTCATAGCGTCGGCACCTTCCCTTAAAGGGATACTTCAACAAAATTTTGGCGCTTGTTTCTTGGTCTATACGTGTCGGAGTGAGCAGTGTCATATTGTACACACCAGCATAATGTTAAAAAACACACGAAAACGAATTTTAGAATCAATTAGACGATTCCCAAAGAGCACCTGCAGGCCGGCTTGCTAGAATTAGCGTCTCAGTTGAGACTGCTAAAAAAAAAAAAAAAAGCGGGGCCAAGGCTCAGGCGCGAGCGTCCTAAGCTCGAGCGTTAGCCTTGACCTCAACTGAGACTCTGCTTCGAGCAAGCCGGCCCTGGGCCGGTTTGCTCATCTTGCGGCTGCGGTCGCGGCTGCGGCCAGGAGGGATTTTTACGTCACGTGACCAGCTCCATGGGGACAAGGAAGTACCTAGCGTCCCTGCCTTATGGCGGACTGATCCGCATCGCTTCAAGCACAAAAGCCTAATTTCGCTCGCAGAAACTGATTGGAGGGACATTCAACTGGAATCTAATTGACCGCCCCTTTATACTGTAGGAGCGGCAGGTAAAGTTACGGCCAGGGAGGGTAAATAGGAGCCAAAATAAAGAAGGAACCACAGGAGATAAAAGCGGTAGCAGTATATTTATCTACCTCCGCCGGCGCCGACGCCTTGCCCCTGCTGTTATGGTCGAGAGGTTTAAGCGCCGGTACTTGTCCTCGCGGCGTGAAAGTTCCGGGTTCAAAACCGCGCAAAAAGCTTTTTTTTTTTTTCTTTTTTTCTTTTTTTTTTTTGTGAGCGTCTTACTTTTTAGCTGTGATCCTTTTTAGGAAATCATCCACTTTCACTACAGCGCCTTACACGGTATTTTTCTGTTAGTCCCACCTGTTCAATCGAAACATCGGGAAGAAAAAAAAAAAGATGAACGCAAGTTAACGCGCTAACCAGAACAGAACGCGCGAGGCGCCGGCGCCGGCGAAGGTAGATAAATATGCTGCTACCGCTTTTATCTCGTGTGGTTTTTTCTTTCTTTCAGCTCCTATTTACCCTCCCTGGCCGTAACTTTACCTGCCCCTCGTACAGTATAACGGTGCGGTCAATTAGATTCCAGATGAAAGTCCCTGCAATCAGTTCCTGCGAGCGACATTAGGCTTTTGTGCTTCAAGCGATGCGGATCTCTCCGCCATTAGGCAGGGACGCTAGGTACTTCCTTGTCCCCATGGAGCTGGTCACGTGACGTACAAATCCCTCTTGGCCACGGCCGCAGCCGCAGCCGCAAGATGAGCAAACCGGCCCAGGTGTCTGTCGCGAACGCCTCGTTTGGAATGTCCGTCTGGGTACATTGCCAGGAAGTGACCTAGGTTGTCTCGCCAAGAGCGGAGCAGCGCCGCTCTGCGGAAGTACGGCTCACTACGCCTCTCCTCTAGTTCTGAACGCGATTATCAAGCCTTCGCTGCCTTCACCCAGGCTCTGCCTTCACCCCTTCGCCATTTTCCCGACGATGGCGACGATGGACTCGTTGCGTTGAGTTGTGGTGGCCCGGTCGCTTGCGTACCTCGGTCTCTGGAACGCTTAGATCATCCTGTCGCGTTCTAATGCCGAGATGGTGCGGCACTGTGCGGATAGAGGACTGCGGCAACCTCCTGATTTGTTGCGGAAAACCTATTCACCAGTTCCCAAAGGACGAACAACTTCGTCCGCCTTGGATCCGGCTCGGACGACCGTCCTCCCCGGCGTGGCTTCCAAATACGAGTGATCGCTTGTGTTCCTATCACTTTCGTGATGAGGACTACGAGCGGAGCCCCAGGGTGATGGTGTCCGTGGGCTTCCCGGTGAGGAACGTGCAACTCAAACCAGGAGTTTTGCCCAGTTTCGTTTCAAAGAAGTGGAAATCCGACGAGCGCAGCGAACCCCCTTGACAAGCGACGCAGAGTGGTAAGGGAGCATGTTCAATGTCGACTATTTCCGAGTTTGACAATGAAAGCCGAACCGCATGTAAGCGATTTAGCGAGTGACGAGACGAGCGACGGCGACAACGGCGAGAGTCTGCGACGAGCGACGGAGATTTCGCACTGTCCCCCGTAGCATCGCTCGGTTCTTGGATTACTCGAAAGAGTAAAGCTATCCGCACTACGTCGTGCACCTCGACTGGAAATGGCTATACGCACTACGCGAAGCTCGTATCAGCGCCTCGGCGCTGGCTCGTATAAAACGAATGGTTACAGCGAGTTTCCGAAGCGGTGGTGTAGCATGATGGTAAGGTGTCTGCTTTATACGCAGCGGTCCGCGGTTCGATCCCCAGTGAGGGAAGAGGAAAAATTAGCACTGAAAAAAAAAAGAAAGGGAATGTCGTTTACGAAATTTTGCAGAACTAAATGGTATGGGACTCGCTTTCCGGAGGTGCAGTCGGGGACAGCGGGACTTGGGTTGCCGGCTGGACGCCGCGAAGCGGCGTTTACAGGTTAAGTTTTGCAATTAACAGCCGCACAGTGTCGCCGCGAAGCGGCTTGAACGCAGGCAAGGGGGGTGGGGTTCGCTTAACGTGCTCACCAGTGATACACACGCCGTCCGAAAAGGGTGACCTAAATGTCATGATGGCGTCAGCTCTCTGCGTAGTGCGTATAGCCATTTCCTAATCGAGGTGCACGACCATAGTGCCTATAGCTTTACTCTTCTAACAAACGTCGCTCACCGTCTTGGCCACTTGCCCCCGCCGTCGCTTTCATGCGGTTTGCCTCCTCGCACGACCGACCGAGCAACAGCGAAGCGGGTCGCCGTTGCTTGTCTCGTCGCCTGCCAAGTCGCTTTCATGCAGTTTATACTTGACTGTTTCATCCAGCATGTGAGCGATTTTCCAGGCGTCCTGTCGCTCAGTTCGTCACTCACCGAAGCAAACCGCACGCAAGCGACTTCCAGGCGATGACCAAAGTGTTCAGGGAATCTAGAACCGAACACTGCAACAGGCGACAGCGACCAGCGATAGCCTAGTTCATCGCTCGCCAAATCGCTTCCATGCGGTTCAGCCGTGGCCGACCGTGCTTTCTTTTTCAAGCCGTTCCGCTCATCATCGAATAGCTTTGGCACTTCGATGATGACATTACATAGTTTTCGTTTCGGTTATTCACCTCTCCACGAGGTTTTCTATTTTGTTGAACTTGCTATCTAATTATGCTGCTTAATTGCCTGCTCATATTGCTTCAGTTTCTGTATTATGTTCTTAGTTGTAAAAAAGAGTAACGAGTAATTAAAGTAATCCATTCATAATATTTGTAATGAAATTACATTACAAATTACTACCGCAAAAAAGTAATGTGGCAATTGCAAAATTACTTCAAAAAGTAACAGATTACAAGTAATCTGTTACTTGTAACGGATTCCTTCCCAAGTTTGTTTACACTCCGGTTATTTGCAGCATATTCGAAAGGCACGGATTCGAGCGGCCATCTTCTCAAGGTGCTCTTTTGCCGCGTTTTTGTGCAAACAAAGCACGGTGCAACGCCCACGCGTCCATATGCCTTTAACACTGCACGCAGCTTGGGCTATTTTGTTTTCGAAAGGGAACTGTTGTATTCCGTAGTGGTGGCGTGCACACAGAGAGTATACACAAGACACATTGGGAGTGATCGCTCCCGCAAAGTCGGAGGTCGGAACACACTGCGAATTCGGTGGCGGCTTTCGCGTAAAGGATGAAGAACATGATAAGATAAAACAGCACAAGAAGGTGCAAAAGGAAGAGACAAACCGGACAGGACAGAGCGCTGACTCGCAACTATGTATTTTTACTGATGGAGAAGAAGAAAGACAACGCATATTTTTCCACACGTTCACACGCACATCTTCTACCGATGATATTGTCGCGGAGAAAAATAGGAATCCTTTTCTCAGTTGATTAAGATTAAGCTTTTGGGGATACTACCCCTAACCTCTGGCGACTTCCCCTGAAGTCCTCCTCGACCGCGCCTTCAGCGGGTCCCCCGCGACCACAGCCAAACTCGACAAACAAGGACCACACAAAGGCGGGTGAGCCGAACACCTCCGCAGCCAAGTTTGCGAGTTGGCGGGCGGAGTACTCCATAGCCGAAAGGGGCTCGGACGTGCAGGTTGGCCTCTAGAGGCAGGGAGATGTCCAGGTCTTGGTATCCGGGAGCCAAGTCCCTTACGGCCCTTCGGTGGCCGCCTATATTGAGTTCAGCACCCCCAATCTAGGGCCCTCCAGCCCACCAATCAGAAAGTTTTGGAAGGACCTTTCAAAAGGGTCTTTTTTAGAGCCAAGCAAAATGCACGGAGCCCAAAGCAAACATCAGCATGACAAAGCCAAGCGCATACAGATGACAAAACATATTTCGGACGAAGCTAAAAAAAAACATTTAAAATAGGACAAAGCACGTACGAAGGCAGATAAGTTATACACGGAGGAAAACCACCTCCGAAGTAGAGATCCCAAAAGCAGACCCATCTGGGGCCCCCCGACTCCGATAGAAGCCAGGAGCCGTGCCGTGAAGACGAACAACCCTCGAAGAAAGTAAAAAGAAGTAAAGCTAAACACTCGCGCGAGCACTGCTTCGCGACAATATCTATACGCTTTACTGCACGCGCTGGACCTTCATTGTCATTTTTAGGAATTCTAACTCCCTACTAGACAAGGCCACTGACACTGAGCTAATGCAGTTTTTTCAGCCGCTGTGGATGCAGAATCCGTCAAGCACCTCACGTGTCACTTTGTCTTTGTGCCTTCTCAAAATTGTAGTGGTATAAGTTAAAGGTGCCCTC